CCGTCCGATCGAAAGAGTCTCGCCGATCGAACGGTAATTTTGAATTTTGCGATTATCGATAATAATCAAGTACGGCGACCTTGACGGGTTTTACCCCGCTGTTAAAGGGTTAAATGTAACTTCATTCGAAGGTAATCTGTGCCCGGCCGGCAGGCCCCACGACTGCGTAGGGCCTTCAACACGACGGCTCCGCAGGTGAAACCTCAATTAAGGGTGCGGAAATTGGAACCCTATAGGCCGCCAGGACACGACCCCCAAATTGAGGGGCGTGGAACATTGGCCTGGCGGCCAATGTGACAATGTCCTCCGCGGGCGATAAGCGAACGACTAGCGTCTCCCAGCTGGCCATAAGGCAGTCAGTTAGCAGTGCCTGTAAGCACTCCGCTTTAAATCGAAATTCCAGATTTTCGAATGCCATGAGATTGACGTGCTGACAAAGCTTACCCTGCATATTAGCTAGCATTTACTTGATAGCTCCGTGGCACATCCCTTCATTCCAATTATAAGCGGCCGCTACTCGTTATAAGAGCTAAGAAGGCCAAGGTTTACCTAATAGTTGGACGTAATATTGCGGATAATTTCTTAAAAGGGTATGACAGTGAAACAACTAGGTACGGTAACTTCAATATATTTTCCGCTAGATCTGCTGGTGGAGTGTGAGCCTGCCGAAGTTCAACAACTTCGAAGCAACTGCAGCTGTCGACGCGGCGGTTGCACGGAAAGTTTTAATACATGCGGGCCGTTCGATTCGGATATTTGTATCTGACGCCTGCAGACAGAGGTTTTCGTCGCGCGCAGCGCCAGATTACTCAACGCACCCTCGGTTTGCTAGTACTAGCCCAGTCCTATTGTAGTGCTAGCGCGCAAAGTGACGACCACTCACGTGACTTTGCGTCAGGCGTTTCTGCCGTCTCTGCAATTTGTACCGTCCGATCCCCTGCAATGCAATCCTGAACGTCGCAACTATTTTCCTTCGACTGCGAGAATGATTCTCAGCGATTTAAGTCGTATACGGACCGCAGCGACAATTTCCTTAAAGAAGATATTTGATGCTCTAGAATGATGATGCTTTCGAAGTACACGGCATATGTGATGTGTAGCGGATTGATTTACAACGCATACATGTGCCAAGTTCGTTTGACTGACAATCTCATTTGATGTGGAGATGCGATCACATTAAAGTGGTCATGCGACTCACCCTGTTAGTTTGGATGCGATGCCAAACATGTAACTTACAAAAGCTCCGTTCTGTTGTATTCATGTGCTCTTCTCACCAATCGAGCTTGTCTTTGTGTTTGACCATGATACACCGAACAAAGCTTGTTATCCACGAGGGTCTTCCCATTTGCAAGTGGTGCACTCATTCGTCAAGGACGTTTTGATGGCATGCCAGATGAGTATTCGTAAGAATGTCTGGACAGTGGCTTCGAAAGTAGAAGCAAGTAAATCTCTCGAACTATTCCGGAAGCCGCAACTTTTCACCAGCTTGCCAACTACAAGAGAGAAAGCCGTGTCAGTACACTTGCTGCATATCAGGACCAACAACCCCTTTCACGGGATTGGTGACATTCCCCTCGAACTGTGGAGAAGCTCGTCAACTTTTGCTGATAACGCTCGATTGAATTGGATCACAACAGCTTCACGCATGAAGGCCAAGACACGAAGAACAACCTTTCTATAAAACTCACCTTTTCAAGTAGTAATAGAAGAAGTCCGCATACAGACCCGTTTGAACCAGTCCCGCTGCCCATACTGCTCGAGCCAACAAGAGAGAGACAAATGAGAGTCGTAGCACAATTTTGCAAGTTTCCCGGATTGAACGAAGAAGCTCGCAAGTGAACACGACCACAGGTTTACACGATCCCATACGCCTCAAGGCTACAGAGTTGAACAACCAGTGTTCCTACAATAGGCGTCAGTGCACCAAAGGTTTTGGAAAACGAGCAGTTGTTTGCTTCACGATATGGACGGAAGGACTTTTGTCGACTGTAGTTCCAGACCCTTCCGTAAGCTTCAAAGAGCACTTGTTACAAGACGAAAGCATGGATAACCCCCAAGAGAGTGAAGGACACAGACTGCCATCATGAAGCGAATTTACATCATGGTGCTGCAAAGGAGAGCATAAAAGGACTTACCTAGATATTGCCGATACTTGGGCTCCGTCCAGTACCGATAGATCCAGTTCAGAATGTACAGAGCCCGGTATGCACTGCCAGGAGCCAAGCACGGGTCAACTGAAAGCCATCAAGACAAGAGCTTCGAATCGCAAAATGATTCATGGAAGAAGTTGGTTCCCAACCCAGGAAGACTTGAATGCCTTGTCTCCCTGTTGAGAATTGCAGCTACAATAAACAGGAAGGCTCAGGACCATATCTTGCACCATACATGGTATTGGATGGCAGGAGAACAGCAGAAAAGCAGTGTGATGCACAAGACGGCTTACCCAAGGAAGAAGATGTACTGGCCTGTCAGGTTGTCCACGTTCTTCGTCCTTTGCAGGAGCACCAACTGAGGGAGAATCGCCACAGCTTCCAGGTAAATGGAGAAAGTCCAGAGAACCTGGGTGACAGTAAGGGCTTTAGAATAAGGGAATCTTCTTTGCTCCTCGTACTCAAGTGCAGGAATGAAGAGTACCAAAGGAATGAAGAGCACCGACAAGTCCTGTATGGGAAGCCTTTGAGCTGGTTTCAATGCCCTGTTTGCGACTGTTGAGTACTCCAAGCAAGTGCACCAGGTTGCATTCAGGAGATATAAGCTCCTTCCCCGCCACGTTGGCGATGAGTCTGTTCAATGATGTAGAAGGCCAGAATTATCAGGCTGGGGACACTGAAAGCTTGCAAGGACCGACTCAGACTGCGATGGATCTTCCGGCACCCTGGGGTCGAGGGATGGCGGTCCTCACCTCAGTGACCGACAGCTCGTTGTTCACAATCAGCGCAAGTACTGCACAAGGGACGACGAGAATGTAGTGCCGGAAGGTGTCCTGCTCCCTGTCGTAGGTCTGCTTGACTTGCTTGTGGTACCGCATGTACCAGAGGATGCCAAACGAGCTCGCCAGAAAGATGAGTTTCATCACAGTGTTGTACAGGGACACATAGCTGTAGAAGAGGTCGAGGTAGCGGGTGACAAAGACTAAGGTGTACAGCTCCTGCGTTTTCATGGACAGACCTGGAACACGAGAAGAGGCAGATCGTCACCTCGCTTTGTGTTGTACATAAATGTAGAAACACAGCCGCAGGGCATAAGAGCAGACTCAGACTTTTGACTCTAACGTGTAAGTTTTGAACTCCACTTGTCAGAAGGTGGGGAACACATCCCTCCAGGTCCTTCAGGCACCAATTTCCAACTTGACCGGCCTTTCGTGAAAAATAGGAGTGTCCCACCTACAACATCAATCAGCAGGGAATGGCTGCCACATCTTGAAATGAAACAAATACAACAGCCCTGAAGAGTTCAGATAACCCCAAGAGCTCCTGTTCCGAAAGAAGGAATGGAGGAGGAAGCAAGCCTTCCTTAGGGGCCAAATTAGGGTTTGGGAAAAAGAGTTGCTGTAGAAGTTGAAATAGTCAGAGCAACGGACCGCCAACTGTGCATCAGGGAAGGTGTCTTCAAACTTCGTCGGTTTTCAGCAAGATCAGAAATTGGACCTGATCAGCAAAGTAGAGAGTATCAGATTCAAACACAATGCAAAACTTTACGAAGCAGACGGGAGCGGCAATCACACACAATCCCTCCATCGTCTCGCTTAAATGCCGCACTTGACACAACATGCTCTCGTTGAAGCATATGCAAGCAGCAGCCCTAAGACAAAACTTTGGCCAGGGCATCCTTGCAAAACGAATCAGAACTCCAGATGTGGAACCTTGTTTTCCTTAAGACTTAAGTGGCAAAAGGGTATCGAAGTTTGATGCTGGTTGCCAGCTCATTTTCCTCAAGGTACGTGGCAGACTGTCGATTTGACCTGCTTGATTGGGAGAAATGCACTGTCTTTGCAGACGCTGGTCGGTATCACGGTGTAGAAACCAATCATATCTTACCAGCACACGATTTGCTGGTGTAGATCTTCAGCAAGATCAGTACAATGCTGAAGAGATGACTCATGTCACCCGCTAACCGAAAGAGATTCATCGTGTCTGCTTTCTGCCCTACGACTTCTCAGCAGGTTTTAAAAGGCGGGGTATGCCTTTGATCTTCTTTCATGCGCTTAATTAGCGGCACCCCTACGTTACGAGCGCCCGGGCATCCGCCCTGCCTAGATTGCGCCCCAATCTGACACGTTGACAGGCTTAAGTTGCAAGCCACCCTAGCGCCCTCATCCGCAAATGCTTGCTTTGGAATGGTGCACTGCGCTTCAATGAGCAAATGCACCACTTCGATCCGGAGGTCGGAAGCAAGTCATGTAGTTCTAAAATTGACACTGATGAAGCACTTTGTTCCTGAGCGGTGATCTGGTGTCAAGTAGGTTCGGAAGATTAAACATACTCCGGAGGAGCGCACGCGCGCACTTGTACACGTTTGTAACATGGCGCCGTGACTTTCTGGGGGGCAACAGACGCGCGGCAAAGTCGACCCCGGTGGTGATCAAAATGATGGTCACTTCGTATTAATGAACGCGTGCACACCCGGTGGATAGCGCATAAAACATGGCACATGTGGGAATGTTCAATGTTCGGAATCGTAAGTTGCATCAAAATGATGCAACAGGATGTTCATTGTTATGTACAGGAACCCCCGGCCTAGCGCTGTAGGTACAGTAGTATCCTGAAGGTGGCGCTGTAATAGATTGGTGGTTGGCCTTCCTGTTCAAATTCAAAGGGTTTATTCTTTAGGTAGTGCAGAGCGGTACTGGGAGGAGGTGAAGGGTTTCTGCTTTGGCAGGCCGTCTTCTCCCAGCCTTCTTTTTGCAGTGGAAAGCCTCCTGGCAATGCGCACAATGTCAAATTGTACCTGGAGGGCAGCAAGAGCAAATGGTGGTGCTTGTGTTCTCAAATGAGGGCAGCCCTCTGAGTTGCAGACTTTGCAACTCGTGAGCCTCAGCTGTATCAGTCAGCAAGACAGTTTAGCTGCCTGCGAGCTGGAAGGAACCGTCAAGGGGCCCTCTACAATGTAATCAGGGATTTACTTTAACCACATACTGTATCTTGTCCACAGCAGTCCTGTCGTTGGGACTGCTCAAGAAAGTTTGATTAGAGAGGTCTCAACATGAGTGACAGAACAGTAGCTATGGACAAAACGGTCTGGGCAGACTGCCAGGGACTTCTGGCGGAAGCGTGCTCTGGTGAGGCTCCTCTGGGTAGTCAGCCTTTGGCACACCACATTTTCGATTCTGGATCTTTTCGACATGAGAGCGGCATGATTTGATATTCCTCGAGCACTGCCTGACTGATCTACCACTCTTGCAATCAAGCGCACTGATTTTGGCGATGGTGGTGGTGGCTTCTTGACCTGCTTTGATTGCAAAAATGATTGGAACGCTGATCCTGAATGCTTCTCTGTTGCTGAAACAACTGTACCTTGTCGTGCTGACATCAGCTATCTGTGCAGCCTTGGAGCCCGGCGAGCTCATTCATGGGGAGAACTTCAGCCTCTTCGAGGCAATGGCTGCGATTGAGGTAAGCTGCAAGATCAGGGAGCTCAGGGCTGCGTGTCTTGCTACTGCGTTCAACGAACTGAAACTCACTACTTCAGCACTCACGCAACAGTCACAGCGCTTGGTGGTCTTCACTGACATTTTCTGCTGAGTCCCCTTCTCTGAACCGCCACTGGCATGGTCAAACCTGATAAGAACAGACCCTGCAATTCAGGTCTGTGAGTGGTTTTCATTCTCGTCAACTACGCCCCAGCGCTTCCTTCTTCATGACCACCCCATTGACAACCTGTATATCCTGTTGTTGCTTGATGTTCCTACAGATCATGGACCCTAAGATGGATGCCGGGATGAGCACCGAGGGGTTCAAAAGCGCGCAGGAGGCGATTGAGGGGGGTTCCGCACCGTTGGATCTAACTGTCCCCCAGCTCCTAGATGTAATGGATCAACTACTAGCGTATGAGGTGAGCAGCAGACAGTTCCGGACTGCACAAAACTTCTGAAACGAACTTGGATTGGGAGGGAACTGCGTTTACATGATGCTTCTATACTTCTGTAGCTTCGTTGAAATGAAATTTCTGTTGGCAACCCGCAAGCGGGAACGCGCTCTTGCTCAGACTGGTGATCCAGACGAACAGAAGTTGAAAAGAGATGCCGCTTCGAATCGTCTGGACGCCTTGTCGATTCTGGACGTCCACAGCTCAGGCAAGCAGGCAAGCGAACACAGTCCGGCCCCAAGTGAGTTTCACATCGTTAAAGACGACTTTTATCGGTGCTTAACTCTGGATGTCGAACTTGACGATGTCAATTTTCACCCCCTCTGAGATCTGAGCCCCTTCAAACATCCTACGTATCTCAAAAGCCTACTCCCTTTCGGTTTGAAAAGCCTCACTTTTTTCTGGACGATTGCAGGCGACCTGGCAGAGTGGACACACCCTTGCTCAGACGGTGTATTCCTGCCTGTACCTCCACATTCCTGAGAGAACGGCTTCGAACCCTCTCCTCCATGCATACTGCAAGGTGGTCAGGAGCACGTGCAACCTGGTTCGGACGCTGGTCATGGTTGCGGATATCCATGAGGTGAGAATGTCAATTTATTCGGCACCTTGTAAAAGGATTGAGTCATGTTGGTAGTTTGATATGATTCCTGTTGGGACTGTGTGCATTAACGGTTCTGTCGGCTCAATAGGCTCGTTCTTGAGAAACCTTCTGTGGTCGTTTCAAGATCTGCTGGTACCCGGCCAACATTCTTCCGTTGGTTAGCTGGTGTTACGATCCCTTCGCTCGTCGGAGCCGGTTTTCTGACGGTCAGACGGTCGGGAAGACTTGCCTTGGTGGTTGCAAGCTATATACGACTGGAACGACAATGAGGCTATCAAGAAAACCGATAAATCTTTTTGTCGCGGGAGGCTGGAGCAAGACATCCGACATCTTTCGACCCCATTGTTTCTTTGGTTGGTCGGCTTGCAGCCTGGTTCAATATATTCTCAGGTCCCAGCACGATGTCTTAGAGAGGACGATTCGGGGTCACCTTTGTATTTTCTTTGAGAAACTGTGCTACGATGGATCGAACTCGGTGTACGTAACCCGGATAATAAAGGCTGGAGGCCTGAGCTGTTCCCGGTCGACTCAAAGGCTTATATCACCACGCAGCTTCTCAGACCTTGACACTGATTGGAAATTCCTCTTCAGGAGAACGAGGACTTTATCGGGGCGACGTTCGGCTTCCCCCTGGAGCTAGAAGAGGACGGCCGCTGCATGACGCTGCTAGCCGCAGTTGAGGAGACCCTTGCCAAGCAGCTGAAAGCGGCAAGAGCAGGCGCGGCTGGGGCGTCGCCGGAAGGCAAGTGAACATGTTGGATCAGATTGGATCTCGGTTGGGCTATCTCTTCGCTTTGAAAAAGTTGGTCTGACTTTTGCTGTGTTTCCAGTCTGGCTGTCTCGGCCTCGCTCCTCTGAGATGAAAAGTGATGGTCAGAGTCGTGCGCAGCGTCTTGCGAGGAAGAGTAGTGGTCTATGACTTGACCACAGAAACTCCGATCTCTTTGAAGTAGAGACTGAGTGTTGAAAAGCTTGTTGCGCATATTGGACGGGACTGTCGACTCGACGAGAGTGGCCAATCTACTTCTCGAGGAGGTTTCCACCCCGTATTCCTTTCACGCGGCTAAAGTATCCAGATTTGTGGAGCGAGACACCTCCTTTTTAGGAGTCAGTTACTCTTCGGTCTTCTGTTCCGTACATACTCACGGGATCCCTACTCTTGCAGCTCCGGCCCCCCTCCAAGCCGACCCCCTGCTGGAAGAACCGTTCTGCGCGGCGCTGCTCGCGCGCCTCCGCTTCCGGCGCGCCCTGCACCAGGCGCTGACGCACCTCGACAAGGGGCCGACGCACGAGAAGGGCACGCTCGGCGCGCAGCAGGCGATCGCGACGGCCGCCAAGGAGCTCGCGATCATCCGCATCTCGAGCCCGCAGCTGGCGCGGGCATTGGAACGGGTGACGTCAGCGGGCACGGCCGGAGGGGGGGTCCCACAGGAAGCGCCTCGAGCGGTGACGTCAGAGGGAGCGTCTGACACGGGGACGTCAGCGGCCGGATCAGGGACGTCAGCGGAAGCGTCTGGAAAGGGGTCCTTCGCTGGTTCAAAAGAAGGGGCGACACCAGCACGAAGTTCTCGGGGTGCAGAAGGGGCGGGTAAGTCCAGGGAACGGAAAGCGACTGGGAAGGAGAGAACACCCAAAGGACCGCGCAAATCGGTCGAGGGAGCGCCCGTTTCATCGGAGACGGGAGCCGGTGTCTCTGGAAGAGGCACGAAGCAACCGGAGGCTGCAAGCGCCGATAAGTACGTGCCAAGCGGGAGTGTCCGAAGTCAGGAAAGCACAAGAAGGGGTGATCGAACCACCGGGGGAATGGCCGACACCCGAGAGGAAAGTGGGAGTTTAGAAGGAAGGCGAGGGGCCGAGACGCCGGCCCAGCCAAGCGACGCTTTCTCGGATGAAGCCCCTGGGGGGCGGGAATGGGGCAACGGTGCGGATGCGCTAGCCGCCAGTCTGCAAGCGAGCGTGCTTTCAGAAAGCGAGCACGACAGAGAAAGTGGTCCCAGCAGCAGCGGACGCGTTTCTTCTGGAGCTACGTACGCTGCGCCAAGCGACACCCCGCACAGCCGGGATCGGATGCCGTGCACGATCCACCTTCGGGAGGGGGGGTCGACGTCCGCGCCACTTCCCAGCCCCTCCGAGGCGGCGGGAATTATTGCTGGACAGCCGCCTATTCACACCAGGGACCTTCGTGAGGGGGTCACGGGAACGGCAGAGGCATCCACGGCTTCGGGGCGTGCGGCGATCGGGTTCGACGAGAGTGTGAATAGGCGGCTTCTGGGGTCGACGCCGCCACGGTCGATGAAGATGCTGACGTGGGCTGAGGTCAGCGGGTTCTGGCTCATTTTGATAACATCACAAAGGGTGGCAGGGTGGTAGTTGAAGATTGCCCCTGCTTTGACAGGCGACTCTCAGGTGCTCCTACCCTCGTTCCTTCGCCCTTGAAATCTGGCCACTCGACTGTGTTCTCTAGAGTCTTCCTTTCTCAATTCGATTCGCCTTGCCACGTGCGTGCATCTGATAGACCGACAGCCTCTTAGCGGTCTGCTGCATCTTCGAAACTGTATCAACTCCGTCGTTGCATCACAGACTGCATATGCTGGACTTTTACGTTCTCGTTGTTTAAACGGGAAAGAACAGTTCCCAATTCTCAAGACGTTGTTACCCAGTACTTGAACCTACCAAAATTGAAGCTTCAAAACCCCTATTCCTGGTACCTGTGAGTAAGAAACAACATCTCCAGGCGCTTCAATCTCATAGCGACAATTGTATCTACATTTGTAGTTTAACGTGCTATCCTGTTTTGTTTGTTTTCATTTTGTGAAATCTACTAAACCCCCGAACCCTTCCTTCCTGCAGACGATGGACTACTACGACCGCCTCCTCCAAGACCTCGCCCAAATCACGCACGCGCCCTCCGCCCGCTCCCTCGCTGACGTCATCCAGTTCGTCGCTGACTTCAGCGACCGCCAGCCCCGCATTTTGGCTCGGTCACGCCTCTTCCTGCACTTGTTCCCGGAGGCGTTCCTCGTTTTGGGGCGAGACTCCCTCACGGAAATGGTGCTAGATGCGGTGAACTTGCCGCAAGGAGCGATCAGGAAAGACCCCGGGGTGCTCGCGTTTGCAGTGAAGGCGGCACGGGTGAGTATTGGCCCCAAAGCTGATCTTCAATTCTTAACTCCCTTCCTTCTTTGCAGGCAAACAAGACTTATCGAGGAACACAGTTATTCGAGAGAGATTTCGATTCTCACCTACTTTACAAGCTCGGGGACTCTGGTTTCGATGATTCTTTTTGTCAAGCGGCCGTCCTGCATGCCGCTTGCCTTTGCTTAATAATCTACTAGAGTTACTGCGGCCGTAAAATGGGGCTTCTTTCGAAGCATACTAAACCTCTCCTATTCACCTCACAGCACCGGGCAGATGTCAGACCCTTAGAAGCTAAAAAGCCCGAGCGAACCAGGGACGTGCCTAGTAGACACAATAGGAATATACCGCTACATTACCACCAATGGCTTATACGTTTTCAATCGATGTGCAGGCCGTGAAAGCGCTGCTGAAGCTCCTGTGCGTGAACAACAGCCGGCAGCGGCGGAAGCTGGCGCGCTGCCTGGCGGAATGGGAAGGAGTTCGACGAGAGGTGAGGCTGCAATTTTGTTATAGAAGCTGCCATACTTGAACCGGGACTTGTCCCGTATGTGATCAACAGGGTCTTTCTGTCTTGCTCAATGTAGCACCGATTTCTTAGCTTGACAAAAGTCGGAGACGCGGAAGCCGTATGGCTGGCTGGGCGTAAGGAATGGGAGAGGTGACGGCCAGTTTGCCCGCCATTCGCAGGGGGCGACACGCGGCTCCTCAGAATGTTTTGTCCTTTGCGAGCGATCCTTTCGACCTCTCCCGAGTCGTTCGAGCTTCTCGTCGGTGCTTGATTTACTCAACGTCTTGTGGTGTGAAGGCGTTTGGTATGTCGTTTAGTTGAGTTTTATCCCTTTTAATCTGGTAAGATGGAGTATCAAAGCGTTTGGCATAGATTTCGTTTCTCAGGAACGTATGCTTAATGCAGGCGGAAGCTCAGAGTCAGCACAACGAAGCTATACGGGCTTGGGTGGCACAAACGCTGGAGGCGGTAAGTATAAGCCCGTCACTACATCTTCTTAAAGATAAGCACGTAAGGATATGCCTGCAACGATTAGCGTGTAAGCAGCAAGCTACGCGCCGCTCTGGGGTCCTTTGGTATAGGAGCAAAGCACAATGTCGACGCGCGGGTTAGGACTGCTAATCCGACTGAGGATATGAGCGATACATCAAAGATCCTCAGCAGAATCGAACCGGAGGTATAAGGAGCAGTCGCTCGACCTCGTATTGTGGGCCTGGCCCAGGTCGCTTAAGCTCCTGCTTAGAGGTTGTCTGTTGCTGCGCAAATCGTGACCCGTTCTTGAAAACTTCGCTTAGATATAAACGTAGAGTTTATTGGGCTTCTAAGCTTGTCAGGCTTACGACCCTGGTTGTGCTCCGTCGAGAGGTGAACTAGGTCGTGCATCAGATATCATGAAGATCCGGAAGGAGAATCTCCGCTTTGTACTACTCTGACCCACTCCTACAATTCAATATTGCAAAGGTTTCGCTAGCTGCAGAGCTCCCAGTTGTTGTGATTCAGTTTTCTCAACCCAAATATCGACTCTGTTGTGCAGCAAGGAGCGCTTGGCCCCGACCATCCTCCCGACGCGTGGCTCGACAACGTCTTCACCTGCTGGACCGAGCAGCAGATCTGTCGAATCATGACGCGCCACCTGTCCCTCGGCTTCCCCCAGCAGCTCTACTCCCCAGGAGAGCTCCCGGTTATCTTCTGGTACCTCTCGCGTGTCTACGTTAACCACGCCGGGTTACTGCACACCCATGGGAACCACCTTTTGGCGATGCATAAGGTGCAAAATTTGGGTGGGGGCCGGAGAAAGTCGAGAGGGGGCGAGGGTACCGGGCGGTACGTACCGGGCGTGGACCAGTACCTGGTGACGGCGTACGGGAGGCTCGCGTGGGGGATGACGCAGGTGGGTGCAGCGGCGGTTTGCTTTTGGAAGCGTCGGTGTCGGGTCCGTTTGCGGCTTTCAGATGTCCAATTCAATCGTGCATTGCATTCGGGGCTGGACGTTTGGTTTTGAGTCCGGGAAGATGCGTGCTGAAGTGTGCAGATGCAGAGTCTCGACATTTGCTGATGTCAATTTTATTGGTTAGCGTTATTTGAGACGCCCGCGAATTTTGATGCCGTGTTATCACTGCTAGGAGGCATCGAAATGCTCCGACTTAAGGTCATCGGCATTCTAAAAGCTTCTCAAACCCCGGTGGTTGTTGCCAAGCTGGGTCCGACGAAGGGTCCGACGAAGTTCCTTATAGAAGGGATGTGACACTGATTTCGCACCATTGGCACGTTCGAAAGTGCGGGTCATTTCCGTCTCCAGAAGAGTGTATTCATTGGAACGATCTGAGAGAAGCTCAAAGGCAGGCAACGCTTCAGTGCGCTTAGTCGGAAGAAGGATCGAGGCCGAACCAAGCACTGACAACTGTGGCTTACGCGTTCAAACCCCTGAAATCATTGCTTGCTCACAGGCATTTGCGCTCTTGCAACGGTCAAACAAGCTGCCCCAACACGCATCACCTTTCAACAGCGGCTTCGAGGTGAGCGCGCTTTGTATCTGTTTCACATCTTCCGTCTCATTGACGCTCCTCAAAGCCCGGTAGAGGTGGTAGACCGTGATTGACTCTCTCTCTGAGTCTGCTGCAAAGCTGCGACGGGTAACTTTGACACAAGCAAGGAGGTCCAGAGTGCCGGACTCGGGGCAAAGTGCTGACAGAGTTGGACAGTGGCTCCGGAACAGGAGGCTGGGTCACGCGTATAGATTTGTCGGCTACTGAGAGAGGCACTTCTTTGGCATCTGCTGCTTAGTCCAGTCTTTGTGCGCCTGCCTCTTTGATAGGATTCAGCTCTCATATGAGCAATTCCGCAAACATGGCGACAAGCCTTTAAAAGCTCGGGCACAATTCTGAAATTTTGCACTCCACGCTTGTTCCGACAACGGGGGACCTTTTATTCTCACCTCTTCGCCGAAAAAGCTTGTAAAGGTCACAACTTGGACTCCGTCTTTCTTCATACCCAGTGCACGACTTACCCAATGAATGGGCTGTGCACACCGACGCTAAGGTATACAGATCACATAAGGTATACAGATCACAGACCTAGTCTTTCACGGATTTCCCCAGGTGTACCTTCAGCGCTTCGCCCCCTTCATAGCCGTCCAGCAGCCGGTTGCCATACCCTATGAGGAGTACACGGGCGAGCTGGAGTATATGCTATCCGCCCAGTATGACGTCCTTGGTGGGGCCCTCCGCGCGTTCGAGGACGCGCTCGAGATGACACGTGCCCTGTCCACCGAGCTGGCCCGAATGGATCTACCACGTGTCAGCCAGGCGCGGCGCGCTGAGGAGTGCCGGCAGCTGGAGCAGGTAAAATTTTCAAGCATCGCAGTTTTTGTACAGACTGATTATTCTATTTTGTCATGAAATACAACTGTTTGTCGTTTGCTGACCGTTGACGAACGGCCACGTCACATCGTGATCCTTCTTGGCTGGCAGTTGGTGTCGTTTTGCTTCTCAGTCACGTGTTAACGTCGTCGGCTTTTTGACAATTTTGGTTCGGCATGTTCCGTCTGGGAGCACTGATTCTTCAAAAGGCACGTTGTTAATGAAAGAGAAGCGCGTCCGAGCGGAGTCGTCTGGGCTTGGGCGACTTTTACCTGACTTACAACAAAGATTTCCTGCTGCAAAACGTGTTCTTACTGACTTACATCGAAATAAACCTTGGCGTTCCCTGACTGTGTGAGCCGGCCCGAGCCTCCTGCCGGAGTGCAGCCTCTTCGTTGAAAAGAATATGCCGTTATCGGTTTATCGCTGTCATGTCCTTTCCCCTTCTCGTGCACCTTCTCATGCGGAGAAAGGAAAAGTTCAAGAGACTCTAGGAGTCCCCTGAAGCTCCCAGATGCTTGCAGCAGGTGCAGCAGAACGTTGCAATAGCGCAGCGCAACGGTTTGAAAACGAAAGAATGATTCGAACGAGAAATCTCCTGTACGGAGGCGGTCGGTGCAGGTGGTAGAGCGCGTTGCAGGGGTTGCGCAACGTGGCAGCAGGTCGATACAAGTAACGGAATCGAAGGCGGAACCGGAACGGAATGCTAATTCGAGGGTGTCCGTTCGTGTGCAGGTTGTGCAGCGAAATGTTGTGGCCCTGAAGGTCCTAGCGCACGTGGGAGCCGCTTCCACGCACGCAGTAACCTGCGACTTCTCATATCACCAGTTTTTCCCGGTGTTGGTGGTCAAAAAGGTGACCGGAAAGACTTCCAAGAGTTAAAACGTTCGTCCGTGCGAAACTAAGGAGGAAGGGGCATGCGTTTACGCATGCACAGACTCGCCCACCAGCCAATAACTAACGAACCCAGGTGCATGTGGTCTGAGTCCGCACATGCACAGATTCCAAATCGAAAGGCTACCATCGGCGCACATCTTCGATGTGTGTGTGGTCTGCCGGTTCCGCTTTTCCTTGGCCTTGGGTATCAGGCAAGCTACATCTCACCACTTGACGTCCCAGTACCAAGTCTTGCGCTGCTTGCAGCTTACATTAAGCTGGAGCAAGGTATGGTTTGACGCTGAGGTTATGGTATAATTTACTTGGGCCGAGTTGTGGGTATCCACATCCATCCCTCCTTGGAAGTCAAGTTACTCAAAATCTGACTGCTGTCAGTTCCAGGCCGTTTGCAATCGCCGCTGTCGGCCCACACATTGTGCCAGCAGTCAGCTTTGTATGCATGTGCTGCCCATATATACGATCCCTTTAGTGGGCCTCGGCCGGGCCTGGCCTCGAATGTGCAACCGTACGAACGGGCATCTGAATGCACGCGAGGGCCCCTGTCATGTTTTCTGTTCACAAGCCCATGCCCATTGCAGACATGCTGCCATCCATTGCTGGCTTCATGCACAGAAAAGGCATGGTGATTGTGAAAGTCCTTATATATTTGTTGAAATGTTTGTTGGAGGTACGGAGTTTCCACCCTGCAAGGTTTCAAGCGTGCCTGTTTTGTGCACAAGTGGTCTAATTGTCGATTCATTCTACCTACCTCGAACGGGGCCAGTAGTCGGAGGACTGTACAATTAAGCAGAGACCCCTTGCACCGTACTCGACCGTACGAAGGGATCCCCCTGCAAACGCGATCCGACGGACTCTTGATCAAGTTCTGGACCGGAACTTGAGCTTGAAAACGGAATTGCGCGGGAAGGACTTCAAACACTTGACGTCAGCAGGGCCAAGCAGGCCTGCAAAAGCACCCTGGCCCCGGCCCCTTTCCCATCATAAGAAAGGACGCTTCAGCCTTCACCGTTTGGCATTGGCATTGTAGTCCTATGTTTACAAATGTCCGGGCAGCACAAAGTGCATCAAAGTGAATCAGTGCCAGTCGTATTGTCCCTAGCTGTCAACCGTTCTGGAGCAGCAACCTTTGCTCCGTGCGGCGCATTTCTACGTGCTGGTAATATTTGTATGAAGGTCTTTCTCGTTAAGCAGGGCACTTCACCACACAGTCAGCCGTGCTAATTGGAACTAAATAGTTGACCAGTGAGAGTACCGGGTGTCATTTGAAGTGGTAGCTCTGTGTAGAAGAACACCATCACAGCGCACTTTGAGGGAGCAAAGAATGGGGGTGAAGGTAAGCTTGCTGACCTTTCGAATCGCTGAATCTTGAAAGTGGACTTGCCCCGGCCCATTCATTTGCTCCTGTCCTCAGCTTGACTTTGAGCTTCCAAACCTATTTTAAACCCTCTCCAAACCCAATCCAAACTCATTCTGCTTTGCAGGGTTTAACAAAGCTCCTGGCGGACAATGCCCCACGATGCATGCGAGAGCAGAAGTTCGAAAACTACTTTGGTAGGAGGATTGCTATTGATGCAAGTATGAGCATATACTCCTTCCTGGTAAGACACCTTATCTGGAATATTCAAGTTGTCTCATGCTTTCCCAACTATTGCTTCCCCTTCAAGAGGACCATTGAGCAGGAGTTTTTTGCTTGCGGCAGTCCCAGAATGATTCTGATTGACTGTGCGGCTCTCTCATCTTTTCACCATCACCGAACTGGATTAGCATATCTAGTGCAAAGCACCACTATAAAGCGCCACAAAAACCACCGCACTACTAGCTTATCTAGTGCAAAGCACCACTATATAGCGCCACAAAAAGGTGACTCGGTGTTCATGCTTACCACAGATTGTGATTGGCCGGACCGGGCAGGAGACCCTCACGAACGAAGCAGGGGAGAGCACAAGGTGAGCAGAGGCACATTGCTAAAGGGCATTAATGACTAATCGCAAGGCTGAAACAGTCTCTGTTCTTGACGAATGCTTACTGAAAGTCACCAGTATGTCGATAAGAGTATGAATGTTGGTTGCGACTGGCACGTCAACAGATTGAACACTGACTGTGCGTTTCTTGGGATATTCGTGTGCAGTCATCTTCAAGGCATGTTTACGAGGACCATCCGATTGGTGGAGGCTGGCATGAAGCCCTTGTGAGTCCCCTGTGGTATCTTACTGTCTTCGGAATTCACCCTCAAGTGTCCCGATCATTATTGTTGAAAGTTTCAGGTTTCATCCTGCGACAGGAGATATTTACTTAACATTTCCCCAAGTATATCGGCAATCTGGCATGGTTTTCAGCACATTCGTCAAAAATCCTTTTCTCCCCTAGTGCCCCATTCAGTTCCTGTACTTTATTCTCATATCCAGTTCATTGAATGATAAATTCCAAGACACTATGGTGGTATCCACAGCCGTTCATCACATCAAATGAATCCGACAGCCGGGAGGCGCCATGACCAGCGATGTAGATACCTGTCGATTGCCCTACTTGAGGGGGTATTCCATTCCTGGTTACGCTTCGGACTATCTGCATGAACTTCAACGTCAGACTTTTCTGGAGAACAATATAGCTTCATTGTGGTGCAATCAAAAGGCTTGATAGGGTTGGGCTTCACATCTCTTATTGGGTCTCTCCAGGTATGTTTTTGATGGGAAGCCACCAGAGTTGAAGACTGCGGAGCTTAAGAAAAGGTAAGGCTCTGATATGAATTTGCTATCGAGACACAAGTCAGATACCTGGTAGACTTTGTAGCGTCACTGCCAGGAGTGGTAAACAACGGTCATCTGTTAGAAATCTCAATTCTGTTTACCTGGACAATCAAACGATTGAGTACCGTACCGGGCACAAGGATTCAGCCAGGTTGGGTGTCCCCGATTTGTGCGTCAGCTCCATTCAAGTTGCCCAGCGGCCTCCTAGACGTACTTCATGACGAGAAGATTTAGGGAGGAGAAGTCTCGACCTAACTGGAAACCTGATTGAAGATTACGCGCTCCCCACGTGCACCCACCCTAAACCCCTACCTAACCCACCCGTCCCAGCGCTGATTCTTATCATTCACTGAGCTTATTGGTCACTGCGTTGATTGGGAGCTTCTTCACCCCACGCTGGTGACAGGCTGGAGAAGCCCATGGATGCTACCAGAAGTTGACAACAGAATATCTAAGCGCCTCCGCACCTGAACCTACCCTACCAACCCATCCCCCAGCCATGGCCTCACAGGTGTTAGTTCCTTACACACAACAAATCCATTTTCAATGCAGGCTGGAAAAGCGCACGGACGCCACCGCCGCGCTGGCCACTGCGCAGGAGACGGGAGAGGCCGCCGACATCGAGAAGTACAGCAAGCGCACGGTGCGCGTGAGCCGCCAGCAGAACGAGGACTGCCGCAAGCTGCTCCGCCTGATGGGCGTGCCTGTAGTGGAGGCACCCGCCGAGGCGGAGGCAGAGTGCGCCAACCTCTGCAAGCTGGGCAAGGTGAGAGGGCACCCGCACGATAGACAAGGGGCCGGTATACGAATGAGCGAGGAACTCAAAAGGAAGCGACGGGAGCCCGCACAAAGCGGTGGAGATTGGGCGTAAAAGGTCCGCAGGTGGAGCGGTCAGTCCGCTGTCAGAATCGGAGGTGGAGCCAGGGCTACCGACGCTTCTTGCCATGCCTACGCCCATTTCTGGTGCTAGTAAGGCCCAATGACCGTGTGTCCGAAGTGTTGGGGATTTGGTGGAGCTCCGTCCAATTCGATACAAGCCACTATTGGGGCTTCATTTGACTTATCCGTCATGAATATTGAATCCCATTCCGGTCACTCGTGACGTGTGTCTCATTTTTGCCAGACTTATGCATTTCTATACTCGTGAAGAAGCCGTAAAGACATTGAACGCTGCCTTAAGGATGTTCTTTCTCTGTTCTTGACAAGTCTTCGACTTTGTGATGGAGTATCCTGCCCCTCGATTTGAAAGAGACTATCTCGGAGTTAGCGGGTTACTTCCGTTTTTATCCTTTCCCACCGTCGGTTTTCACAGCCACTTCTGGAACCGCGAACAAGTCTACGAACGCGGGCAATCGAAGGATCACCGCAAGCATTCATGAACATCTGCAGATTTGTACTTAGAACTTGCCGTTCATGGGGTAACTATGCTCCTCATGCTTTCCGGTTCCCCACCCAGGTGTACGGGGCTTCCACGGAGGACATGGATGCTCTCACGTTCGGCACCCCGCGCCTGATCCGCCACCTCATGGAGCCCGCCGCGCGCAAGATCCCTGCCATGGAGTTCGAGCTAGATAAGGCGAGTATTGGTCTCGCTCAATTAACACTGGAACTGTCAAGTTTCTAGGGAGATGCTGTGAGCCACTGGTGTCAGTCACGCTTAGTCTAACACTGAGATCGTCAAGCTGCTCGGGAGATGCTGTAATCCTTCGACCCTGACCTTACGTCCGAGTCTAATCGTCAAAGATCCGTTAACTGCAACGGAAGGTTTGAAGGCTGAACAAAACGGAAGCTGTCAAGCTGCTCGGGAGATGCTATAATGCTTCGACCCTGATCGTACGTCCGAGTCTAATCGTCAAAAATCCGTTAACTGCAACGGAAGGTTTGAAAATTGAAGGAAACAAAAGCTGTAAAGAGTGATTGCCTTGATTTGGAAGACATTGCACACACCTCCCTACATACCAGCTTGTGTGGACCAACAGCAAGCGAAACAATTGAAACACGAAGATACTCGCTATTTCGACTAGTCGTTTCTTGCAAGTAGATCTCTTTTCATTTTTTGCACGTAGATCTCTTTTTTCTTGCACGTAGATTCTGGAGGAGCTGGCCTTGACAATGGACCAATTCATCGACCTCTGCATTCTCAGCGGCTGCGACTACTGCGACCCCATCAAAGGTATACCGTCAGCTATGGACCTTTCAGGAGGCCGTAAAGCTCCGAAGTTTTGCCTCTTGCTTTCACCTTGCTACCGGCGTTGCTAAGCATAGTCGAACGACGGCCATTGACCTCCAAGAGTGTTCGTTTTGCATCAGTATCAGTCGCTCTCCCAGATTCACTCAAGGAATACGCAGCAGTATCCGAGTTCAAAACCGCGGCTCCGTTTTGGGCACGGAAGCCGTTACAAGCTCCACTTTATGGGGTTTCTACGAGGCCACACTCGACTAGAACCTTTTCGGCTTGTTTTCGAAGTCATATTTTCGATTTTACCAAGCTTCCTGCGCATAAACGTTGTCAGTGTTCGTACAAGCATGTCGCAAATTTGCCCTGTTTTCGTTTTGCTATTCCAAACGACTACGTTTGTTGCCGAGAATCCCCCGGTGAATATGGGCCCTGGCTGGTGCAGGCATCGGGGGTATCACCGCGCTCAAGCTCGTTCGGCAACACGGCAGCATCGAGAAGATCCTGGAAGCCATCGACACCGCCAAGTGAGGAAGCCCCTTCTACCAGCAGTCTCGATTTTCTGTTGAGTTACGGCTATGTTGAGTTAGATCATGCCCGGGGGACGGGTGGGGTTGGTTTGGGGGTTTAGGGTGGGTGCGGGTGCGGAGCATGTTAACTATCGGTTTGGGTTTTTAGTTTGTTTGAGCCCGGGGACTTGATCTAACTCAACATACACGTAATTCAACATAAAATCGAGACTTATCCTTCTACCTCAACCTGCTTTGCTGTGTACCTGACTCTATCGCGTGCCTGTTGTTCAAAAGAGCTGTTGGCAGGTTCTGTCAGTTTTGTCAGTTCTGTCACCTTCTTGAAAAGGGTGTCAGCGAACGCATCCGCGTTTGGCGATCAATCACCACGGAACGGGGCTGTTTCCGTCGCTTCGATACACACGTCCTGGCAGCGACTTTGAAGCTGATTTCTGCTACTCGAAGGACGCCGCCAAAGCCGCGTCGATTCCTTGATTTGCAACGGGCCGAAAGGGCGTCAGATGCCAAGGGCAAACCTGTGCAATCAAGTCCTCGTCCTCAGGAAGAAAGTACGTCCGAGGGCCAATATTGAATCCCGACACCGCCTTCGGCGACCAATCCAGTGCCGAGGCACACTATCTGGTCGCCTGAGGGTTATTCATGCCCCGACGCCCTCTTTCACCGTCTCCGCGCTCCGTCGCCCGTTCTCACGTTGTGGCAAAATCTGGTAGTTCGGAAGCCCTAGAAATCGGCAACTCTAAACCAAAAAGTGGCCGGTTGCAGGTACCAGATTGCCTCCGATTGGCCGTACAAGGAGGCGCGCAAGATGTTCCAGGCGCCCGAGGTGACCCCCGCGGACCAGATCCCCGAGTTCAAGTGGGTTGCGCCGGACGAAGAGGTACGCCACGCACTTCGTTTATTCACCGCTGCACTTGCGCAGGGGCCTGCCGGCCAGTCAAAACTCCTTTACTATATGATAATAAGCTCAAGTTCCGCTACAAGGCGAACCTAATATAAGATTCTACACCGGAAAGGTTAACGGCTCCGCAACCCGTGCCCCAAACTACATCCCCAAACTAACCCCACCCGGCTCAGAGAGGCTGATCTGATATAAACTGCGGTTATCGTTACTAATCTAGGAAGTCGAACTTTTGGCCTGCCGCCCGTGTCTCAGCTGCCCTGCTTGAGCGTTACTCCACGGGCCGTTTGCGAGTTTCGGCACCGAGTGGTTTCTCATGCAGGTCGAATGCCGTGCACTTTGAGAATTGGTAACCTCCGTTTCATCTGAGCTGTTACTATTTAGGCATTCACCCAGGGCACAAAGCAACCAAATTTGGAGTAACAAAATCACGCATTCCGCACTCATTACCCCAAATGAACCTCACCTGTCTCCGAGACCTGTATCTAAGTGAACGAAGCGCATCGATAAGGACGATTCTTACACTTTGACGCTGATGCGTGCTTTTGTTCGCGGCAGGGCATCAAGAAGTTTTTGGTGGACGAGAACGGGTTCAACCACGAGCGGGTCACCAAGGTAAGCCCGCCACGTCACTGGCTACGTCACTCCTGCACGTCCCGACGTTACTCCGTCGATTACCGTCGACAGCTTCTTGATGGGTCCAGAGACACATTTTAGATGAGTCACTCGAGACCGAATGACCCAAGCAGACAAGCACAGCCTGGTTACTTTCTCGGCGGCCTGGTGACAGTTTTAGTGGGAGTCGTCCGTCTCAGCGCACTTCGACTTGGTTTTTAGCAAATCGACACAATCATCCGAATGTTTGAGAATGATTCAACTCGGGTAAAGAGCAAAGTCGAAGTCACTGCCGTGTAAAGTATTCCAAGAATCTTACAAAACTGTTCCAAGAATCGAGAAAGGGTAATAATAAATGCGCATGGATAGATGCAGGGTAAAGCAAAAAATTCAATGGACTACCGCTTGACGACTGCGTCCCATTGGGCTGCAGGGTATTGAGAAGCTGAAGGCGTCGCGCGCAAAGGGGGCGCAGGGCCGCCTCGACACGTTCTTCAAGATCACCCCCGGAGCCGGCGGAGCAGCGCCTAAACGGAAGGTAGGTCCGGTTGCAGATTTTCTTGCCGTTTGTCAGAATTGTCAGAGGGAGGAATTAAAGGATTATAGGTCGAAGGGATCCCTCAAAAGCTACCGGCCGAGAGTCCGCATTCTCCTTCCATCGGTTCTGTCAAGCGCAGGAGGACTTGGGATGGAGGCGCCTGAGAGGAAGAAAATTGCCGTGCAATTGGATTGTTATGATATGCAGTCCGTGCTTATGGCAGGTTCGGATGCTCCCCTAAGGCAAAGGACTTCTGACGTACTTGGTTTTTGGTACGTCTCCGTCTCGGAGGTCTCGCTTTACCTGCAGCGATGCTTTCTCAAGAAGCTCGTCCTAGCTGCGACACCGCTCGCGTGGTCTCTTGTTAACCTTGTAGGTGCCTCGATTAGTTGCGGCTCTGCTTTCTTTTATAAGGACTAAGCTAAAACGTGAATCGTGCATCTCAATCTGAGGCTTGCACTTGCAGGCCGAAGATGATAAAGGGACGAAAGGAGCACCTGCAAAGAAAGGCAAGGGGGCGAGCACGAAAGCCGCTGCGCCAAAGGGGAAGAAGAAGTAGGTGTATTCGTAGACGACTGGAGTAGCCCCACGTGCAGTCGAAAGGAGTTACAAGTGCCCCGCGAAGACGGTGGTCGATTGCAAGCAGCTTGTGTGCATTGGGAATGAAAGGCTGCTTAGCGGAGCAGAGCCACATTGAACGTTCTTCCAAACGTTGTGAATAGGTACATGTAAGAAGCTTCGCTGACTTTGAACTGAGTTGATGAGCTGAAGTGCTTACTGGAGGAGTTGTCCCGAACGGACTTGTTTATTTCTTTCACACAGGATTACTGCACTGATTCGCATGGCGCTCAGTACTTCCATATGAGGCGTAAGTATACGGCTGGTAATGTCTGGTAGTGATATTACTATTTTGTTTTCAAATTAACTTGAGCTCGGTCCCGCCAGCCGCACTGCAACTTGGCAACTGCCAGTGATCGACAGGCTAAGGGCGTTAACAAATTGGAAGTTACCATGGGTTATCTTCTCCGGCCATGATCTCATGCAGACCAGCGGCCATGCACGGGTGCACCGTGCACCGTACACATCGGAACAAGTCATATAGGGACTGAGCGGTTATATAAGGCCGGCATCATGCAACGTCTGGCAACATTGGAATAGCCATATACGGCATCGCAGAGACAATGTTCTTTTTTCTGCCTTTTGACTGGATTCAATTACAAGCCACAACAATTCATGCATGCTGGGCATGTGAGAGCACTGTTGAAGCACTGGCGCGCACACATCCCTTGCAAGCCTGCCCCTCGGGACCCGCTGTAATCCTTCAGCCAAGAAGTGAGCGATGATTCTTTCTGAACCTCCCGAATGCACGTACGTTGAAACTTGAACAGCTACTATTGAATATAGGATCGAAGTGCCGCTACAGCATCCCCTTTATGCTCTCGAAGAATCCTTTCGGCCTCCTTTTTGTCGAGCTGCGCGGAAAAGTAAACTGTTGAGATGATGAAGTGGAGAAGCGAGATTGAAGAATCTAATGCGACCGATCATTCAGAACGATATCAGAGCTCGAAACATCTCTGACACGCAAGCAGCTGTCGATAAGGTCAACATTACAAGCTTCGAGAAGACTTAAACGCCATCGACTGTGGTGGATCACACCTCACCTCTAGTTCGTTTACGATGACGTCTAAATCCGACTGGCTGACTTTCACTGCCGCCAGCTCCTTTTCTCTGCACACACGGATCCATCAATCTTGTGAGCCTTTGCAACTCAAAAGGTCAGCTTATTGTGTTCCCCTGATGAATCCGTATTGTCTGCAGGAATTGGATTTGTCCTACAATGGAGTGCGAAAAACCACAACCGTTTTTCAGCCTTCAGTAGAACCGAAACTATGAAAAAAGTGGACGAGACGGGACCAGAATAAGAGCTGAAGGAAAGGGAATCCGATGCTGATGAAGAAGTGAGCGTACATTGAAACTGGAATCCGTATCCGACTGGACTTCGCACAGATATGACCCTACTGGTCGAAACTGAGCCCGCTAAGCGTCTAGCTTTTGCGAACGCCAATAGTTTCCAAGTTTTTTGACCCCTTGGATCTCCGAAGCTAATCCCTCGGAATCGCCAGTCGTACTAAAGTCTGTGCGAACATGACAGGGGATACCTTCGGTTTCAAGGACAAGTCTGACTGATATAGAAGGGCTCAGCCGTCTCACCTTAACCGCTGCGCCTGTTTGTCAGCCGCATCGCTTGCATTTATGGACTCCATGGCCTGGAAAAAGAAGGAGCACCACCGATTGGATGGACCTTGCAAAGATTCACTTGAACATTTTCAAGGTGACTTTGTAGGGACTAATGAGGAGATTATAGAGGTGGTGGCACCTCTTTAAAAGAACTTTCCTCAGAAATGTTCAATCAGTCATTGCTGAGCCCTAGAGCTCCATAAACTGGCATCTGTGAGACTTTCCTTCGGACGTTGCTTACCACCACTTGTGGAAAAGAAAAAGGGTAAATGAAAGTAATAATCAGAGATAGGAAGGCTGGAAAAGCACACGGGAAAAGTCCTGATGAGCCCCTCCGGATCTCACAACGGCCAGCTTAGGAAAGCTTCTCCTGAGGGGAATGCTGATCAAATGGTGGCGCTCTTTGCTGAGTTTGAAGCGGAAGTCTATGATCCTCATTCCACAACAGCATATCATGATGTCTGGAGCGGTCACACCATCAACTTCTTTCTGCCCTCTTGACTCAGAAAAATGTACAAAATATTTCTCAAAGTACTCCCGTTCGGAAACGCCGGAAGATAAGCTTTCTATTGTCAAACAATTTCTTGACACCCCTGGAAACCCTCTGCGAGTATTCCAAAAGGATCTTTGGGTTGATTTCCAAAGGTCACGCCACAAGAGCTTTCTGCGAATTGCCTGGAAGCTGCAGGCCGCACTGCAGCTGTCGTACCTGTTTTACTTTGGAGGCGTCCATCTCTTTCTCCTCAACATAGTCCGTAATCGAGTTAAGCGCCTTGCTCTGCTGCTGGACGTCCCGGGAAGCCATTTTTGGGTCCCCATTGCCCTCCGCCTCTTGAGGATCGTCCGACATCTCTGACAAAGTCCTTAGCTGGAAGATGGGAAACTTTTGACTGCGCCTGACTATGGCAGCTGTCCAGAGAGTGCCCTTGCTTTTTGCTGGAGAAATGGACAATGCACCACCCTTTGAGCAATAGGTCTCAAGCACTGACCCTGTTCCCCTGTGCAAACCAACAAGGTTTTGATTTGTCACTGTGAGGGGCAAGGAGTTTGACAATGGTCTCCTATGGGCGGCCCCTGCAAACTGATCTCCAGACTGGACCGGAAAGCGCATGCAGCCTCAGTCCGACGGCGATAGTGGTGTCAATGCGCATACTTTTCGAAGCTTTTCCATCCACCCCCCTTCTGCGTCTGCTGGTTTTCTCCCCCCCTCGAAGTTTCATTCTTTCTTTGGTATGTTGAATCCGTCGATCTGCCCAAGCTGTACGGTATACCGCGCTACCGACGTACCGACGGTACCGTATCCTGTAATTGCGTATACCTTATTATAAGCGGCCGGGAGTGCCTTTTCACACTTTCCCGCGCCTCCTTTCGATTCGGCCCTTGCTCAGTTCCTGACGTGCTGCCGTGCTGGACTTCTGCCAAGTGGGAGAAACGCCAACTGGTGCGTTGCCTAGGACGACGCCAGCCAATCTTTCATGCAGATGCTCATGAGGCACGAGCTCATTTGCAAGCCAGCTGATTCAGGTTTCCAGGGACTCTAGCAATGGGGGACGACGTTTCCGAGGCGGAGCTTGCTGACAGGGTAAATAAGGCACTCGAGGCGTATGCTCTAAAGAAAGGGGCAAAGTCGCACATTTGGATATGCGTGACAGAGGACAATGGTCCCGTGGGTGGCTGCTCCCCAAACTTGAGGCCTTACGGGCCTGGGTTGATGGATGAAGTGGAAAAGGCAACAGGAAAGTAAGCACCCAGTCTTTCCAGGTTCTCCCCGCTTGGCCTTCAAATTTGCCATTGCAATGTGCTAGCCTTGTAGAAGGAATCTAGGCACACGTTGCCTGGGTTCTTGAAACCATTCAACCAAAGCAAATGAGAGTCTGTTTGACAAGTTATCCTGCCTCTCAAGAACCAAAAATGAACGAGCGGTTTGCCCAGAAGTTGCTGGAATTCCATCCGAACATTGGCCGAAGAATCTGGACATTGTCTCTGCAACTAGCACATTCACGTCCAGAAGGTGTTTCGCATGTGTAGAATCTCAGGCGGTTATGTTCTGATCCTTGTGACCAAAAATACCACATCTGACTGAGGCTGATAGACTGGGCAGCAAACTTACCACTTTACCGCCACCAGCACACTCTTGCATTGTGGCAAGGCTTGGATACCCTGCAAACTTGTTCAAAAGACATGCGATCCTGAGGTTATTTGTTTGTCAACATATTATCATCCACTTATTGTCAAGCCGTATTTGACTCCTGTGTGATTCCTTTCTTTCCATTTTGCTTTCAAGACAGTTGCATTCTTCACAGATGGTTCTTGCACCAGTGCATCTCTTCCACCGACAAGCTGAGAGTGCGGTCAGGCCTTTTTGCAGCATCTGCCAATAAAGACCCCAATGCAACCATCCTGTGAACCTACCATACATGTTCATTTTTACCTACCTTCTCAACACCGATTGAAACGCCTCATCCCCGCTCCACTCTGCTTCCTTGAAAGAGAACAGTTCCATCTCGATTACCTCGCAAACCGTTTGAACACAGATATCAGAACTGTATACTGAACGGGACCACAGCTTATAACAGCTTGGGCGCAAAAGCAAATGGCGGCACCCTGCTTGATTGTTTCAGCGTTCAGTAAGCGTTCTAAGTATTGAGAAGGAAACTTCTTGGAATGCTAGTCCCATCAGCAGGGATCTAAGGGCCTTTGCTCATAAAGTTACCCTTGCGGCTCATCCCAAGCATTCTTGCCAAAGATCGGGGCAAGCACATTTGTTTTGAAAGCCTCTTTAGCCCCACTCTGATGCCCAGCTTGCAGGCGCAAGTCAAAGAAGACGCGCAGCGCCTAAAAACCTCAATGCAAAACCACAGATGGAAAAGAAAGAATTACTCTCAGTGCGAGTTTCATTTGTCTTTCCACATGGTGCCAATTGGCGGTGACGCCCCACTTAGAGTGTCAAGCTGCAGTACTGGCGGCAAAGTAACACTGTACATGATTACCATCCAGACAACAATGACAAAGAAAGGAAGAGCAGAGATACGAAACACCTATGATTTTGATCGCAGGAGGATTGTGGTGACGGACGGCTCGCTGCAGCCGAACCTGTTGACAGCGGAGCAGGTGTTCAACGCAGCCGCCAAGACAAAGCACGTGGAGATCCATCCAATTGTGGCGCTTCTCATCAACGGGATGAACGAGCTCAACAACCACAAGATCCCCCGCATCAACGCCCTCACCGACCCCAGCACTGTGAGCGCCGCTTCTTTGGGATCCTCCTCTGCGTGCGCTGTTAGATCTTCGACTTTCCAAGAGAATTTAACAGCTTCCTCTGAACCCATTACATGTGATCCTGAGACTCTTTCAGCTTTTCAAGGGGCACCTCAACCTCTCTGAGACCACCTGATTTCAAAGTGTCATTCTCTTCTTTGAACTTGCGGTTTTACCTTGGGGTCAAGTTGTTCCCTTAAACACCCACCTGTCCATTGAAAAACTGTTGGTGTTCCTTAGCATGTTCTGCAAATGTAGCAGCCAGTAACTCCCAACCTCCTTGAAGGCGCGACACAGGAGCTTCATATAGTTTTAGTTCTTTGTAGCGCCATACCGTCAAGGAGACTAAAGATACGTTATTCGTTTCATGTTGCCGCCCGCGGTGTCCATATAAGTTTTTCATCGACCAAACGGCCAGAGACATTCTGACCCTTCCTCATACACGGTTGTGCTTCTTCTCCTTTTAATGCCCAAAGCTATTACTGGAGCGCAAGCTCATCAAGAGGTTTTGAGCATATGTCTAATGCAGCCCGGCAGGGTTGGAGCGACTCCGCTGCTCATATCTCCTTCAATCAAGCGCACTGGGAGGAACTGAAAAAGGGAACAGCCAACACAACTTTTTGACACCCCTCCTGAGGTGCCAGAGTGGTTCTTGGTTTCTTCTCATTCAAAATAATCCTGCCTTCCTTTCATCAAGAAAACCTGCGAAATAAGGAACTAACTGAAACATGCTTCAGTCTGTTTCCTGTCCTTCCCTGTCCTTCCCTGTCCTTTCCTGTCCTTTCTTGTAATGCAGTCAAAACCACAACTAGATTTCAAAACGCACCTTCTATTCCAGGTTCCGGAGTGGTTTCCTTTCAGCGCAGACAAGTACGCGGCGCGCGCCCAGAAGATGGACCTTCCGGAGCTGTTCAAGGTGAACTGACCTCACATTGGCTGACAACTACCAGGGCGATCGTTCTTGTTTGTAAGAATCTGTTAGTTAGGCTACTGACATATCACCAATTTTGTTCATGATTAAGTCGGGGGTTTTGCACACGGCATCTCGACAGGCGGCTGGATTGGACTGTCAATCTGGGAGTAGCTTTCAACCGATCCGATCATATCCGCCTCAACTCGTTCCAATGTAGCCATCTCATGCTGCTTGGCTGTCTGAAACACAGTTGTTAGGCTAAAAAACCGTTGGGGAATTGTCTACAAACCGTAGCATTGCTTGGTGAAACCTCAAGACATTGTGCATAAAGCCCCCAAACCAGTGCAAGCTGGAGTGCCGGGCACAGAAAACCCCGAAGAGTAGAGAAACTTCCAAAGCGTTAACGTGCTGGAACCTGTTCAGGTGATGGACGTCGTGTTTGCTTCCATCCGGGGGGACCTCCCCAAGATCAAGAAGCTGCACACGATGCTGGAGAACGTGTTCAAGTCCGGCTGCTGCTCCATCGGCACGCGCGCCGCGGTTGACGCCTTCTTCGACTTCCTCACGCAGGACGCCATGCAGGCACGCCAAATGTTATCCCCTTTTTTGTCGTGTCATTTTTGTGGTTTTTTCTCTTCCCTTTTGCTTCTGCTCTTTTCTTTTGTGACAGTCCCGTTGGCCTCTTTTCTTCTCTTTCTGGTTGCTTTAGTCCCTTTTCGTTGCTTCTTCAAGTCTCTCTTCTTGGCTTCTTCTCTTCTCTTTCCTTGCTGATATTCACCAGCATTTGTTGTCTCGACTCTCGAGCATGCTACTGTGAGGCAGACCGTCCTCTTATGACCCTGCTTTCGGTTTGTTGATATCTCTTAAAGTCTCGTTACTTGGCTGTGTCCTTCGTCTCTCTCTTGAAGTCCTCGCATATGCCAACATGCAGAAATGTGGCCACAATGCCTTGTACATCATGCATCGAGTCGTCCGCTTGCTTTCTTTTCTCTACCCATTCTTCCGTAGTGTGGTTTCTGCTTTCTTGTCCGGGCTGTTGGTCCTCTCCGCCAAGCTGCCGCTCTCAAGACGTTTCTTGGTACAAGTTGGTCTCTTTAATGAGTGGCTGAGCGCTCTTTCTTGACAACATAGAGCCAGTAGTAGATCACAAGGCGGATCAGAGAAGCAGGCTACAGTTTCACCAATCTGCCCTTGTGAGAAACACGAGCGACGAGACCTGCGAGTGTTGCTTCTTGCATAACCCTCGATGATTTGAGCCGCTGTTATTTCAACAGCCTGTTCAATGGAATGAAAGAGAGGCCGCTTCGCTTTAGGGCGGTCCCTCTCAGCATATTCCCTCACAGACATCCCTCTTGAAAATCTTCTTGGAATCTGCGCCAAAGTTGGCCCATGCTAGTTCTGTCAATCCTACTTCGGGAGGGCTTAAGTCCGACATAACTTGTTGCATGAACAGTGTTTATTTTACAGCCATACCAAGATGTGGAATCCTGAAGAATCTTTCTTCAGACCAGCAATCGGCTTGCCCCATTTTCACCTTATTTAAAGATCAGGTGTTTGTTAAGACTAACGAGTGACATTTTCCCCGTCCAGCCCGTGGTCACAGAGGCGCTGAGCGGGCTGTTCCGGAAGCGGCTCCAGTCGGAGCTCGAGAACGGGAGCGGGGTCCAGGAGAAGCGGAGGAGAGGGGACGGAGACGGGGGCACGGGAGACAAGGTGCAATTACAGTCTCTCAACTTTTTCAGCTGAATCTTGTGGCAAATGAATGGTTTGGCGGTGAACAACGTCGCTGCAGGTTAAGTTGTTTTTGAGAAAGGCCGGATGCAGAGCCGCTGCTGCAGAAGTAATCCTCTTACAAGACAGAGTGCTTGATGGTTTCTGGAAAAGCCAAAGCGCCTCTGCCTTTCCCACCAGAAGCGCACACGCTGGTGAAATACACGCTGTTTCACTTTGTGGAAGGAGAACGCACCGCTGTTTGAAGGCTCTAGATCTCATTTACTCTTGAGCTTTGTCGCCCCATCTGTGAAGCCTGGTAGCCATAGCCGAGCCTACCTAAGCTTTGGCTGTCTTCAAAAGTCCGCCGGCTAACTGCGCGAATCGATCTGAAGACCTGTGGCATTTCGGAACGCAAATCCAGAGCGTGAAACGAAAAACCGAAACGTACACTACGTCCAGCGATTGAAGAGCTGAACCCTTGGATTCGTGAAATGCCCAGCAAAATGCAGCACTGGAAAATGGGAACGTCATTCTCGGCTGGTGTATGTTGCAGGCGGAGCCAGAGAGCGACGAGTCGCCTGAGGACCGGCGGCAATGGAGCAATCCGAGCGACACCAGCAGCCTTTCCTTCCTATGGCCTTTCGAAGACTCGTTACAGGTGCGTACAGTTAAACCAGCAACTCGAACGTCCATCGGCATTGCTGACGAGCGCCTAGGGGCGTTGTTTTTGCAGAGTCCACGTGCTAGGAATAGGCTATACAAGTGCAGAACTGTCGGCATTCAGCTGGTGTAATCAGCTATTTCGTCTCTCCGAGAACGACACAAGGTGGAGGGTCACGATCGTGTGGAAACGCCGACTTCCGATCCCTTTCCCTCGGCGAGCTGACGGGAAAGTTTTGCACACTAATCAGACATGTAACGTGCTCCTTATTTTTTTAAGCACGGTTTGGTTGTTCTCACCGAGCCAGTAATCTCCGGCTTCAGCCGGATTGCCAGACACGCTGGCACGCTACTTGCTGCTCATCGGTGGCAGAGGCCATTGACCAGTCCGATGAGAGCTGGGCCTCTTTTCTGAGTTGCTTTCATGCTTTGATTTGTGCAGAGTCCGGCTCTCGTTCAACGCGCGACACGGTGATATCGCAAACCATTTTCTAGGCTCATGCATTTGTAGTCAAATGGAAACCACAAGGGGTCAGCGAGGCCGGCTTTTTGGTAACCCTAGTTTGCATGTATATGTTTTCACCTACACAATAGCGGTTGGTTTGAAGGTTTAGCAACGAGTTGGGGTTAAGCTCATCGTAACCGATGGGTGGATGTAGCAGGCTCCGGAGTTGTTGAAAAGTGCTGCAATATGCGGCCAAAATGGGTGTCAAAAGGTATCTCTGGGTTGACCATGCAGTCAAACACGTCGACGTTCTTGCTTAGTGTGTTAATATAGTAGGGGAAAGGCAGACACGAGGCCGTTAGCTTGCAGCTACGTGCATTTGGAGGGCTCGATGCTCGACATGCTTCCATGCAGAGGCCTGAGCGTACTTAATCTAAACAAATACATACTCCTAAGTTGATGTCAGACTTGGCTGTGGTTTAGGTCCGACCAACCTTTCTGGATGCAGGATGAGTCCACTTAGTTTATATTTGACTGAGGATATACAAGATTCGGAGTCCCCAAAACAGTGTCGTGTCGTATAATTATCCACTTACAGGCAACTTGGCGTCAGCCACTGAAATATGCTGATACTTTATTAGGTGTATGATCCGGCGATGATCGAGATTAGAGCTCTACTGCTGAATGATCGTTGTGTATATTTACGTAGCCGCACATGCAAATACACTATAGTAGGTTAACTTTTAGGACAGATTCTGGCCTGTGGCGACATGTGATGACACGCGGGGCCGCCTGCCATGGCACCCGCAACTTTGTGCTAACATGGATAATTGTGACGTTTCCCTTTACAATATACAATTCCAGAATGGACCGCTCAATATATGACTCAGCCATCATCCAAGCTACCTAGTCGCTGGGACATGCGCCGGCCGCAGCGTTCGCACGGCACTGCGTTGCTCCGAAATGCGCAATCCAATTCACTCAGATGTTCGAATGCAAGCGACTAATCGGGTTGAAGGCAACGCTAATAACATGCGCGACAGCCAGGAGATACTTCCTGACACCAGATGCACAGGAAGCACATTCATGCCGCCAACTTCGTGTCAAATATCCGGTAGCACCTGAGACCACCTGAGCTAGGATCGTCCGGAACGTACGACTGTATGCAGCACACCAGCCAAGGGGGATCCCTGACCCTTGGCTGCTGCGGCTCCTCGTTGTCTCCGTCCTCTGGGGCGGTGGCTTGGCCGAGCGCTAAACCCATTTTCCACCGAAGCTCGTCCACGCCGTCGTCCTCTTGGTGTGAGTTTCGGGGCGACCACCCGCCGAAGAACGTCTCCTGCGGGTCGCCGAAAAGATGCGCGTCAGCGTGCTTGGGCAGCTGAAAGATGTGAATCGGTCAGAGTGTCAATCTTGTTGCAGCGCCCGACGTGGTCCTTTTCGAAGGGAAGACTCAGCGAGTTGGGTCGTCATTTCGGAGAACAATTTGTCAGGCCCTGGCACTCCAAAGCGTATGCGTCCTTCTCTTTTGTCTAAACCGTTGAATATAGGAAGTAATCGAGGCTCGCAGTATTCCCCACAACGATTGCTTCAAAATAGGTTCCACATGTCTTTCTCACCCGAGTTCCAAGCAGAGAAAGCAACTATTTCTTGAAGGCCACAAACTGGTGAAGCGTTCTTCACTGCAATCTTTTTAAACAGATCCTCACACGCGAGTCTCAAGTGATATGAGCAAGTAATATGTCGATCCCCATTAATCACACCCTGGTAATTAAGCTTATCAACCCGCCATCGTTCCTCACCGCATCCCTCCCAAATAGCTCCGCACTCAGCCGCGCCGTCGGATCCTCGAGCGTCAGCGTCGCTCGAAACACCCACTCCTCCCGCCTCCGCCGCTTTCTAGACGTCCCCTCAGGCCCCGAAACCCCTTCCGGATTTCGCGGGCTATCCCCCGGGGCCTCCCCACAGACTCCCCTTTCTAAGTCGGCCTCTACCGCTGCCCTCAGCGCGTCGTCGAGTGACGTCATGCTGACGCACAGGTCTTCGGTGCGCGGGGGCCAGCTGGACCGGACGCGGACGATGCACCGGAAGCGGGAGTTGCGGACCTGAAACGGAGCGAAACGAAAAGAAAGTCTCAGCAAAGTTCGAGGCGGTGCCCAAACAAGGGAGTTTCTGGCGCTGATTGAAGCGTGCTTTAGGTTTTTGAAGGTCGCCGCGGAAGAGCCGCTGACGCAAGATTTTCTGGGCGACCGGAATGTAGCCCAACAACTCTCTCCTGACGCTCACCTCACGTCACTTCAGCTGCAGATGTGCATGACGTCACTTACGAAGGCTTGACAGGATCGGCAATGTTCGGGTGGTAAAAGGACCGTCAAAATCTCCGTCTGGTAAGCAAGTGCCACGTGGCACCTTCCAATTATCAAACTAGTCACTGCAATGATTAGTCAGAAGCTGTGAGCATCCGCGTGAGAGGAAGTGAAACGAGAAGGTTTTTCGTTGCAAGAGTTTTAGAAGAGGACGCCTCAACAGAGGCGATTTTCCCCGTATGCATCAAGACGTAACCGAAATGGACAAGCGGGTGCTACGAGCCAGTCCCCCAGAGAAAAGGAACCAGGACTCACTGAACATCCGCGTTTTCGCTGGATTGCAAGTGCTTCCCTCGGAAGGTGAAGGAATGTGTTTCTTTGCGTACCTACTTCTGTGCACCGGCCAACAGATTGGCACATCCGTCGAGCAGTATCGTCGTAATTCAGAATAGGACAGCAGATTAATAAAACTTGCGTCTCCCCGCGAATTGCGAGCTTCTATCCTTCATCATACATGGAAGATAGTGGAATGAAATAAGAAAAGAAGTTTTGTTTTGAAGAACGAGGATGTCAATCTCGACTATCAACTTCACGTCTGCCTAACGGACCAGCATGCCCCTGGTCCGCAGTCATCGTGACGTCAGCATCCGATGAGAGGGACCTAGAACCGACACAATTTCCATCCCTCCGCTGGGCCTGGGGTTGCGAGCGCATCTTGCAGTTGCTGAGGAGAAGGGTTCGTCATCATGTCTTCCTAACAAACCCAAAAGCAGTTGGAAGTGACACTCAGAAGGAACTAGAACCGAGAAAATGTCCCGCACCTCCGCCGGGGTTGCGAGCGCTTCCCGCAAGGTGGAGAAGGGGACGTCAACATATCTTTCCAACAGACCAGCATGCACCCAAAGGCGGTGATATGACGTCAACACTTGATTGCTAACAACTAGATGCGGTGAAAACCAACGCACCTCCGCCGGGGTTGCGAGCACTTCCCGCAAGGTGGAGAAGGGGACGTCATCATGATCTGTCACGGAGTAGCGTTGCTGCACCCACGCCACCTCGTCCGTGATGCGCTCGGGCCCATTCACCCTCTCGGCATAGTGCCTGCGAACGTAGATTAGGCCTGCTGTGAATATACCAAGGTGGCTGCTTGACAGTGCCTATTCCATTTTGCAGTATTGACTGAGAGTGAAAGCGCCCGATCGGGTTGGTTGACGGTGCCCCTTGTACCGGTATAGTGCAGTTATGAAGAGGCCGGCTGGGTTCTTTCGCGCGTCGGTCGTAAGTCCTGCGAAGGAAGCAGGTCTATGTGCAAGTTCTCCACCGGACTATCGTAACTGGTCAACAAGGCGATTGACACGGAACGGGTTGAGTGCGGCGCCTCCTGAGTCAGCTGATTTGGCAATGACCTCCTTTCAATTGCTAGACACCTCGCTCGTCTCATCACAGTGCGTCTCGTACTTAGACCGAAAAAAATCTGGCGTCTCTATTGGAAATTTTACGACTCCTCGACATGGATGTAGCTATGCATAAGAAAGAGGAAGTCAAGCCCTCCAACTTCCACTGACCAGATCGACGTCCGACTTAATAACCCCTGAAATGCCCCCTCTCCTCAACGGAGCCGCTCAGGCACACATCGCCACCCCCCCCTCAGCGCCTTCGCTCTTGCCCCAGCATACAACGTTGCGACTTCTCCCCCCCTAATTCAAGTAACAAAGTCGGTCCCCACCCTTGACTTCTCCCTTCCTAACCTCAGCCGCTCCGGCACGTGTCGTTCCCTCTGCCCTAGGGCCTTCACCTTGGTGCTCTCGCCCCATACGGCCCTCTTAAAACGTCATCGCTCTAATGACCTCCCCACGTTTCCTGTCCCCCTCCTTCTTACCTGAGCCTTCCCTGCGCGTGTTGCTCCCCCTCCCCCGTGTTGCTCCCCCCCTGTTCTTGTCGAACTCTTGCCCCAGCAGAAACGTTGCATACTCCCCCCCCCGAAAACAATCATCTCTTGAACGATCCGTCCATTTATACCGTCCACCCCCATCTCACCTGAGTCTCTGTTGCACGTGTCGCTCCCCCTCCCCCTGCGCCATCACCTTGGTTTACCCCTCAAAACATCGACCCACAAAACTCCCCCAGGTTTTGTTTCATCTCAAATCTCACCTGAGTCTCTCTTGCACGTGCCGCTCCCCCTCCCCAAGCGCCATCACCTTGGTGCTCTTGCCCCAGTACCCCCGCAAACTCCCTTTCTCCCGCACCACTTTAATATTTCTAAACTTGTACCACTTTCCGGCGACCGGCATTAGAGAGAGCGCCGCGAGCGGCACGTTGTCGTCGGTAACGATCGGAAGGGCCGTTCCGAGGGGGGGGAGAGAGGCGAGCACGGAGGGGGGCGGTTGGCTCGGGGGAAGAAGATAGGGGTCGGTTTCATCGTCTGGGGACCTGGATGGAAAGAAAACCC